CAGTACACCCCTGGTCCCTCAGGTCAGATACCTTGACCTTTCCCTCAGTCAAACCGTGTTCCCCAATCACTTTCCTGTGTGGGCTCAAGTGAGGTTGGCTCGTTTTCCAGCAGGAATTCTTGCAAACACACAGGCTGGACTCATGGCTCTGTCTCTGACCTCTGCCTCTTTGGTCTTAATGGCTGGAACTGCTGCTCTGGTTTCAGCTGTTGCCATAGCTCTAGTAAGATCCTATTTGACTCCCCATCTAATTTCCTTCTATCTGCTCCTGCCTGTATTAAATCAACCACATCTGGGTCCTCATAACCTTCTTGGGGCCCTGTAAATTCTTCTTTTGAGTAACAGGTCTTATTTCTTTGCAGAATCTCACTGCTTCAGCCTCTCCTAAGTCTGCTACTGTACGTGTCACCTCGCCTATGGGCTGCCCTAAGTGAGGGGAAAGAATGGCCACTAGAGACCCAAAGAGGGATGTGGGAGTCGTTTGAAGCACAGTATTTCTCATCCCAGTAGTGAAAATCTCTTCATCTGTCCACAATTCTCTGGACTATAGATGGCATTTCTTATGCCTAGCTCTTGTCACACCTGTTGGAGCTCAGCATACGTATGCCATCTAACAGGAGAGGATGGTAGATCACCCAGATTGGGCCACACAGCACAAAGTGCAGCCATAAGCCAATTGAGGAGGGAGTGACTCCCTGAGGTCTGATGTGCATTTTGTAATCGCTGCCTCAAGATGGGCTGCACTGTCATGGAAGCCAACTTTCCCATCTCTGATTCAGACAGAACAATTCCATCCACCCCTACGTCCCACAGATACAGGAGCCAAGCTGATATTGACTGAGGGCTTCTGCCTAAACAGGGAGCCCAAATCCACCAGCTCAGCCTGAGTATAGAGGACGACCATAGAGGGCTCCATGACCTGGGGAGGAGGCTGCTCCTCTCCTGAGGGAACTTTAAGCTGCTGGGTCTTTATTTTCTTTACAACCACTGGGCATGCTTTCAATACAGGAGGGGCCAGTGCCTCTGGCACCACCCCTTCATCCTTCCCCAGCTCTATTTCTGGGGCTGATGGCACCTTTCTCTCCTCTCCCCTGAGTGCCTCCTCTGCTGCAACCTTTACCTTTTCTACTGTGCCTCGCAACAATGCTACCTCAGTCTTCAGAAGCTCTCTTACCTTCAGCTCAATGCTTCACAGCTGACGTTCTCGTGCCACCTCCACCTGTGCTTCCCTCAGGAGTTCGTCTTTTTCCTTGACGGCCTCTTCCTCTTTCAGAACACCTGGCAGCACTGCCATCTCATTCTATAGGGAACCTTTTACCTCTTCCGTGGCACCTAACTGCCGGCGTTCTCGTGCTGCCTCCTCTCGCATCAGTGACATTTCCTTCTTCAGGGAATCCACAGAAGTTTGCAGCTCGTATTCTCATGCTGCCCTTTCTTGGGTCTTTTTCAGGAGCATGTTCTTCTCTTCTGTAGACTTTTTTAATACTGTGAGAAGCAGCCAACCCACAGTCCCCGCTGCCTCACAGGCACTCTGTCTCTCAAAAGACCTACTTACTACACCAAGGGCTACCAGTACTGCCTCAGGTGTCACCTCCACTTGCCTCCAGTCCTGGGGTGGGGACCAGTTCTCTAGGAGACAAGCCATCTCAGACCACATACCCACTGGGGAACAGTCCACTGTCTCCGCATTCACAGGGGCAGCCCGCTGAAGCACCCCTCTCATAAGGGGAGCCTGTCTTTTTCTTTGGTCAACAATGAGCCCTGTCGACTTCACCAATTGTCTTGCCAATGGGTTTTAGCCCCCAGCAAGTTCACTATGGTTTCAATGCGACCAAAGAAAATAACAGTAAAACGTTCTTGGGGTGAAAGGGCAGGTCAATCACTAAAATCCCATTCACTCAGAGTGAGTCTGCATGCAGCAAGCCAGTCTCTGCCTCTGGACCCCTCTGCCCGCACAGCCATCCTCTGGGCCTCTCTGTCCACATAGCCATTCTGTGGGCCTCTCTGCCTGCACAGTTGTCCCACACAGCCGTCCTCTGGGCCCTTGTCCTCGGCACTGACACCACTCCAGCCTCTGCTCTGCTCTCCTGCAGCCTTGCAGCCATGCCACCATGTTGCACCCAGAGCACTGGGTGGAGCTCTTATATATAGAGTCAACAGCCATGTATTGCCCACATGTGTGCATTGAGCTAGTCAACTAGGGCCAGGTGAGAATCTGGGTCACAGGAACTCTCATTTTATCCACAAAGCTATACCTAGATCTTTTAAAAATGCTTAGAAACCTTGTCAAAATCCTAAAATAAGAGGGCATGGTCTGGGCAGTAGGGAAGGTCCATATTTGGAATGAGCCTTTGTGAAGAAAGCTGATTCAGAGTTCTAATCCCTAGCCCATTTTTTATAGCCAGAATCAGCCCAAACTCTCAATCAGTAGTCCCTATATGCCAGTTCATGGATCTATGCCAGTCTGTGATGGAGTTTACCCCTGCTGGGAATAAAATGAAAACAAAACTAAAGATAACAAAGACTAAATTTAATTGTGTTTTAGTTTTTATTTTTTGATTTGTCTGTTTTTTTTTACAGAGTCTTAGTCATATAATTTAGTCAACTAAAATGGTTTTTATCTTAACACTCTAGCCTTCCTGCTTGCTGTTTATAAATTGATTTTTTTAATTTAAAAATATAAATAATAGTAGTTGGTAGTTTTGTGTGTGTGTGTGTTCTTTCATGGCAAAATAAATTTTTGGCAATGTAATATGAGTTCTGTGAGTATATATCCATATTTATGTATCTGCACATACACACACACAATTTTTTCTTTTTCTTTTTTTAAACTGGCCTGGAAACCTCTGCTCAGAAAGATAATGATAACCTTAATGAGGGAACACAAGGATTACAGCAAACCAATTCCAATTAACATCTAAACTCAGCGGTTTTATCCTGGTGGTGGTAGGGAGTCATTTTCTTCAAGTACAAAAGAGTAAATTTTATTTAGTTCAGTTACACAGTGATGTTAATTTCTTGCAAGATCTATCTTGGAAAAAAATCTATGAATTAATATCATTAAGGTAAGAAGTCTATTAAGAAACATTACTTATAATCAGTCCTTTTAATGTACAGAACATGTAAATAGTGTTTCTGAACATTCTAAAGAGAGATGCATTCATATATTTACCCTTGAATCAAGCACTCCCATATTGCAGCATATTTGTGTTTATGATTTTTTTTTTCTTCAGAACTCAGCCTCACAGACACTTCAGTGCAGTCTCTCGCCATCCTTTTGCGGCTTCCTGGTGGAGATGACATTTGCTCAGCTAGAGAATAGACACTTTCTAGCTGAGTTGCTCATCACACTTATACCCCAAGGCCTGGCTGATTGGCTGTCAGAAGACTCCAGCTGTTTAGCTGCCATGATGTGTCTTTCATAAGAAAAGACATTTCCTGGAACATCAGCAGCTTGTTAAGGACTGGGGAGTGCAGAGGAAAAAATGTGAAATTTTGGAGGAATAGAATGGTTTGAACTTGGAGGAAGCATGAAGATGAAGCAGAGAAAGGGATGACTGGGAGACTTTTTCCCCATTTGTGTCTGAAAGACTCATTTTGGAGCTAACCTTACAATGTGAGATGAGCAAACCTCCACAGCTTAGAAGGTCAAGTGTAGGTAGGAAAAGCAGTCTGACTATTACCCACCCTAGGGGTGCACAGATCATATGAGGATGTAAAACTCAACAAAGAAGCTAGGAAACTCCTCCTGAAATTGTCAGCAATTTCACTTCAGTCTGATTTTCTTTGTGCCTTGATTTCCTCTTCTGAAAATAAAGAGTAAAGAACACTCTTGGGCATGCCTATAAGACCCAGAGAGCAAAAAGCCAACCAGAGATATTTGGATTCTAAAGATCCCTTCAGGAAGCCATGTTGGTAGCCAGAGCCCACAGAGGGGAGGAGCAAGCACAGTGCTTAAGGGACATACTTGCCAATTTGAAGCCCATGAGGGCCAATTAGCTCTGCTTTCTTCCACAGCCATCGACTGACCCCTGAACTCCGGCCAGTCATGTCACAGCTCTGTGCCATTGGTCACTGGGGTCACCAAGACAGAGTATGTGGTTGGCTCAGTGAAAAGTAACTAGCAGAGACATGCTTCCAAGTGTCATCTCTATGTATGAGGGGCAGCACAGCAAGTCTTCAGGGCATGAAGTACTGTTTAATGGCCTGCTGGCATCCTTCTGCCACCTGCACTTTCCACTCTCACAGCTCTTATCCATCTGTACTGTCATTGTCACTTTGCCTATTTGTTGCTCCCACCAAACTGTGGGCTCTCTGAGAACAGAAATTGTCTTACTAAACTCTGTTACCACGTGCCTAACACAGTGTTGGCACTGCTAAAAGCTCAATAAATCTTTGATGAATGAATGATGGAATATGAAGGGCTTAGCTTCAGGGTTCCAGCCATGGTTTTACAACCAAACAGGAACGAATTTCATCATAAAAATTCTGGAAAAATGTACCAAATGAAAATGCATGTCATTCACTCTGAAAATTTTAATGGATAAATGTCTGTGCAACGTCTTTACTTCTGCACCAAGGGACAGATGTGAATAGTAACAAATTAAATAGCTTGCCAGGGTAACATCAGCCTCTAAATGTTGCTGATCAGTGTCCTGATCTGGCCCATTCAACTGCATATGCAACAAAACAAAATTTTTTTGAATAATAAAATAATAATCTGAGTTTACAATGGTGAATTTCAGTCCCAAATATCAGTTGAGGAAAGGTAAAAGAGGGGAAATAAACAATGAAACAGCTACTATTAGCATGCCCATTTTATAGAGAGAGAGACTGAAAGTCAGTGTTTATGTGATTTGCCCAGTCATTTACTGTGTCAGACTCAGGATTCAATACAGGTCTTATTCTTTTTGCAAAATTTTATTTGGAAAAATTTTTTAAATACAGAAAAACTGAAAGAGATTGAAAATCATATATTCACCACCTGAATTTCACCATTAACTTTTTTTTACATTTGGCTTATCCATTTATCCATCCTCTATTCATCAATAAATACATCTTAATTCTGGTGCATTTCAAATTATTTGCAGATATCAATATGCTTTAACCTATATGATATATGATTATAGCATGCATATTATCAACTAGTATTTAATATTTGTTTGTGGGAGGTTTTATATAAAATTTACTTATGATGAAATGCACAAATATTACACGTGCCATTTGCTGGGTTTTGAAAAATCAGCTACCCAAACCCTTATAAAGATTTAGAACATTACCATTCCCCTAGAAATTTCTCACATGCTCCTTCTCAGTTAATTCCACTCCCATCCCCACAGGCAACCCCTATTCTGACATTGTTCTACCATATTTTTTTCTGTTCTAAAGTGTACATAAACAGCATTATAAGGTATGTACCTTCTGCATAAGAATTGACCCATGTGGTTTTGTAAATCAGCATTTTTTTCCATTTTATTATTGAGTGGTTATGGATATACCCCAGTTTATTTGCCCATTCTCTCATTAATGGGCACTGTTTTCACTTTCTGACTATTATGAATACTGCTGGTATGAACATTTGTGTGCAATTCTTTGTGACCTGTACGTATATTTTCATGTCTCTGAGGTATATATCTAGATGTGGAATTGATGGGTCTTGGGGTAGATATATTTTCACTTTTATAGGAAATTGCCAGATCCTTTTCCCAAAGTGGTTGTACCATTTTAACACTCCTATCAGCAATGTTTACCAGGTCTAATTCCTCCACATCCTCACCAACACTTGGTTTTGTTGGTCTTCTTAATTTTAGTCATAGTGGTGGGTATGTGGTAATATCTCATTGTCCAACTGAGTTATTTTAAATTTCAAAACAAATGCATTTTAGCCTCACTATACTAGAAATGTATGTAGGTATATAAGAAATAACCATATACTCACAGTACAAGGCACTATATGAGAAGAACAATATAAACAAAGTGCCAAAACATCACCAACGATGGAGACAGAACTTCCAACCGAGATGTTCAGTAGGGCTTCATGATAAATTATATTCATGTATTCATTCAAAAATATTAATAATCTAGTCAGTACTGGGGATCTAACAGTAATCAAAACTATAGAGACCCCTGCCATCATGGAACATATATTCTAATAAACAAGTAAAATGCATTTCGGATGGTGATAAGTGACACAGGGTAAAATAATCTGGGGGGAGCCAAAGGACGGGTAGAAAGTACTGAGAGGAGGTGGTTATTTCATACCAAATGGTCAAGACATTTCATGGACCTTGAAGAATGTTTAGGATTTACCCTGAAGGAGACAAATGGAGGAACTTCAGATAGGATGGGTTGGACACACAGAAAGTATTTGCCGATGGGAAAAGGACAAAGACTAAGTTGAATGTGGTGAGCCTTGGGTCCATCTTGGAGCACAGTGGAAGATGGAACTGGAAAGACTGCGAAGGGACATTTATGGAGCTTGTACCTATTTCAGCAGGCAAAGGAGAACTATAGGATGAGTTTGAGCAAGAATGGACCGAATCATCACCAAAATTAATATAATGTTATATGTCAATCATATACCTCAATTAACAAAGAAAACACAAATGGACCCCATTGCAACCATGCTATAGATAAATGAATTTGTGGCATTTCATTCAGCTGAAGAAACACTCTGCAGTGTCTATTATGTGCTGCATAGAGAGGATTGTAGTAGGCAGAAACTAAAGACTATGGTGGGGAGTAGGGGAACAAATGAGTTATCTGCTGCCATTGTTCAGATTTACATCAATGAACATCCTAACTAAAGCTGTGAAAATGGTCATTGAAAGGTGGAAAACTTATTGAGGAGGAAGAATTGGGAGCTTTAGTGACTGGACGCAGTGGTGGGAAGGATGTTAATCTCTCTTCTACTTGGGGTAACATATAGCTAACCTCTAGTAGCACCAAATTTGAATATTGGCAGCAGGTCCTATATAGAATGGGGACTTCCCTTTGTAGAATTGGGTTTTTTTCCATTGCTTTTGCTAAAGCATGGCCTTCCACCTTCCACTCTAGAGTGACTGTGTCTATTTGAACCTTTGCATTTCTGTACAGTATCTTAAGAATCTCAACCACTTAGCCCATGACATCCAAGTGTATGCCAAATGCTCACTCTGATTTTTGCACATGGCTAAAAAGATGGTTATTTCCAAGGAATATCAAAAGGAAATAGCAAGGGACACCACCATCACCAAAAGTTCTTCCACTGACTTGTCAAATGTCCAAAAGCTTCACAATTCAGTGACAGAATTCAGAAACAAAGATTCAACATTAGTCCCTTCTAGAATGTGCAGTGACACTATATGGAAACATTCTTGCTTGAGAGAAGCAAGAGATTAGCATGGGTTCATGTATCTGGTGCCTCAATTACCCTTTATCATTGAGTAGAATGGGGCCCTCAGAGAATGGGACTAATGAAGTAGTTAAGTGAGGGTGGGTGGTGGCAACATTAAGAAAGTCTACAACAGGAAGCAGGCCAACATAGAGCTCCAATGGATGGGTGCATGTATGCCTATGGCAGTTGCTCAAGGGTCTGAACAAATGGGAGAATGGGCCACCAGGAGGTGATCTTAGTAAGATACCTTCTTCAGAGATGTCCTGTCATCAAAGCGCTGGGATTTGGAAAACCCAAAAGAACTTGTCTAGCTACTTAAGCTTTATTGGCAATAAACCAAAGCTGTGCAGCTTAAAGATGCCAGTGTAATAACTGAGGTCCCCAGCCCAGGACACCTCACCGTCCTCTGCATACATCTCAAATATTTCCTCCTGCAGGGCCCTCCACTCTATCAAAATGCAGTACTAGCTGAGTCACTGAGGAAGGCCTCCAAGCTCAGCTCTCATTCAGCATTGGCAGCATACACGTCATTGTACACAGTGAATGCTGTTTTTTGGCTAAAGACACTGAAACCTTTCAGAGCAGTGAGGGGAGGGTAGATCTCAACTCACCAAATGTCAAAGTAATGAACAGGGGCAGTGAAGTGAAGTGAAGCCAATGATCAGCAGCAGCAGGAGCTACAAATAAGCCTTCAACCACCCTTCACACTTCTCACTTTAACTGAAGAGCCACTAAAGAAAAGGGACCTGTGAGGCATAAGACAGAAGGCAGTGCCTGGGCAGAGTAGGCATTGGGTCAAGGTATGTTGAGTGAAAAATTCAGAAAAGTAGTAGCAGGCCAGGCAGAGGTGCTCAGTGACCAGAAGTAGATATTTGCTTTTCTGAGAAAAAATCTTGCATCTCCCCCTCCATTTTGTAGCATCCGGTTTTTCTTCTAGATGCATAAAACTTTCTCTCTTTTGTTCATTTATAATTCCTTAAGAGATGCAGCCCTTTGCATGGGCTCTGACTCTGTGGGTGCACCTATAAGTGACTGGAGCATAACTTCTTGTAATCCAAGCATAAGCCTGGTCTACATGACAGACCCACTGATTTGGACTCCACACATGTGAAATTGGTGATGACTTAACCAGTGAGTATTTTAAATGAGATAAACAGAGGGATAGCTAATCTATTCAAGAAATATCCAGCTAACCATTATGGAAAACACAAGAATAATTCTTATTAACAATTTTAAGTGGCTGTAAGGACCAATATCCCAGGCAATACAAAATTAAGATGCTTCATTAATCCAGACTTGTCTCTGCTCAGCATCTCTATTATTTATTCCAAATCACTGGTGATGTATCTTAGTCTAAGAAATATGGAGAGTGGGCTGGCTGCACAGGTATCTCTAATGCTAAGTGGTCCCTGAAAAGCTTGGAGTTTGAGCTGAGAGTCTAAAAGCCCTGAGACCTTTTCCAAATGTGGAGAGTTCTCTGAGTGCAACCAAGGATATTCTCATGAATTAAAAAAACAAAAACAAGAATCTTCATCCTCTTCAGTTAAATGGTATCATTCTGCAGTTTCCACTTGACAAATACCACTAGGGGCTACTCTACCTTCAAGAAAACAAAACATTTATTTTAGGTCGCTAGAAATGTGAAAGAATGAACCAAGTAGCTTCTAAAATGAAGTGCACACTCTACATTGTTTCCCATTTATGAGCATAGAAGCTTTTCCTAAGAACTGGCACAGACGTCTTTAAAACATATTTCTAGCAAGGGAGAGAAAAAAAAAGGGGGGACTGATTGAGTTCAAAGAAGAACTGGGAATCAAGACCAAGGTGTGAAAGCTAGAAATCACAGCCCCAGCTTGCCAAAGTATACCTAGTTTGAGATGAGCAAAAGAAGGGGGTGCTCTATCTTAGTAAGGGTAATCCAACTCCTTACAGCCCAGACGAGGTTGGAAATGATGAAATATTTGAAAGGAAAAAAAAAAACAGAGTCCATCTCTAAATAACCAACAACAGTTTTAGTTCCAAAAATAAACTATAAGATGAGCACTCCCAGAAATTCAAGTATAATAAGGCAAGTAAGAATAAAAGAATAAAACTTACAGGAATATTTTGTCCTCATTGTGGAATATGGAGAGACAAACAGGTGACATGGGCAAGCCCAATCTTGAACGCTAAGGAAGAGAGAAAAAGTTAGAAGGAAAGTCTCTACCAGTACATTTGCTTTCCAAACCAGCTTGCTTTTAGTGCCTCAGAGAAAAGAGATGTACATAGCAGGGAATGCGCTGATTTTTTGATAATGAAACAACAGTCAGGAGACCTATCCTTGAGTTCAGTTCTGTCCCTTGCTGGCTGTGTGACCTTGTATATTTCACTAACCCTCTCATGACTCGTTATGGGGTGTGTAAAATAAGAGCCTTGGTTTAATTGTGTACTTGTGTATAAAATGCAATTGTGTAAAACATCTTGGAGCTCCCTAAATATTATAACTGTTTTAATATCCTATGATTCAATGATTCCATGTACCAAATAATTTCCAGACCTCAGAGATTCAGCTGACAATATGTGTATGTGTGTGCATGGAGAGAACAGAGGAGGGAAACAGCAAAGAAATGATTCATTATGAGTGCACAAGAAAACCAACGAGAAGAAAATAGGTGGTTTAAAAATAAATTGATGTCTAGTTACTTTGATTTACTCTAAAGAAACCTGCAACAGGGATGTGCAGCAGCCAGAAAAGTCTGTCATAAATGCTCACTCAGATTTTCAACCATGGATCCTACCACAAAGTCGCTCAAAGGAAATTCTCTTGTGAGCCTTTAAATTTCCATCAGCTGAGACATGAAAACAAGGGTTAGATGAGCCACAAGGTATGGAATAAAACCAACAGGACCCTATTTCTATACCATATAAATGCCTTGCAAATTCACTTAGAGTGCAATAGACAGCTTGCTCTGTTGTTGGCAAGATGAGAATAGTTTTCGTAAGACAAAGAACTCATCCATACTCAGAATAGGGGTTGGCAAACATTTTCTGCAAAAAAACAGATAGTAAATATTTTAGGCTTTGCAGGTCACATAGTACCTGTCACATATTCTTTGCTTTGTGTTGTTTGTCTTGGTTTTATTTTTTACCATCTTATTAAAATGTGAGGACAAAAACAGGCCATAGGCTGGAATTGACCTGCTGGCAGGTATTTGCTGACCCTTTGTCTAAAAGAATTGTAGGCAATCAAGCAGCAGCGGTAATGAGAGTTCAAATCTACCAGGTGTGTAAGTGGCCAAAGTTAACTGGACTTAGAGCAGGTAAATCTATCAAGATACATTCCAAAAGAATTCTGGAAGACTATATAAGCTAGGCAGTATATTGAGGCCCTTGGAGGACAGCTAAAGCATTTCTTTGAAGTGTTACTATTGATATTATTGATAGCTAGGATTTGAACCCAGGCAGATGACAGAAGAGTCAGTACGTTTATCCACTATGCCTATTCTGGAACAGCACCTTGTGAGTGGCTTTATAGAGGCATCTCACATTTTAGATAAACATGGGGTTCCATACTCTTTCTGAAAATCAACTCCTATTTTCTCCATTATTTCCATGAAATTTTCAGATGGACTGTGAATATGTGGTTGTTCTTAACAAATCAGTCTTAGGCTTCCTTGCCTCTGCCCTCTTTCCCCAATCTTCTCTGCCAATTACTTAACGAGGTATAAACAAACAAATACAAAAGACAACCCAATATTTAGAGGACCCCTTTAAGGATCTTTCAATAACTGAGTCTTTTCAAAAAGTGAGTCATTCCTCTGTAGAACACACTAGAAAGTCCAGAAAGAAACCCAAAAACATAGAGGAATTTAGTATATGCCAAATGTGGTATTCACGTCCATGGGGAAAAGATGAATAAATGGTGTTGAGATAATTAGGTAGAAATCCAGAAAAATGTGAAGTTGAATCCACAACTCACATCTGACCTAAATAAATTCTAGACAGATCAGAGTTTTCACATAAAAAATAAAGCCAGGAAAAAGACTAGAAGAAAGGAGGAATGAAATCATTTTTTAATAATCTTGGACTGGGGAGATGTACTTTCTAAGTATGACACAAAACCCAGAATCAAGAAAAGTCCTATACAGTTAACTACCTGAAAATAAAAAATTCCTTCATGGCTAAAACTTCCATGAGGTTAAACAAATGACAAATTGAGAAAATATTTGCAATTTATATCACTGAAAAGGAGCTTTCTTACTATACAGAGCTCTTCTATAAATAAATTTTAAAAGACCAACAACCAAATAGAAAATGGTCAAAGTATAAAAGATTACTTATAGAAAATGAAATCTCCAATTAAACATATGGTAATTGTTCAACTTCATCCATAATAAGAGAAAGACAAATTAATGCATCATCAATATATTATTTTCCACCCATCAGATTGGCAATAATGAAAAAGTCTGCTAACACACTGTGCTAATAGGATGTGGGGAAACAGCCACTCTCATAAATTGTTGAAGGGAATGTAGTTGGCACGACCTGTGTGGAGAACAACTTGGCCATGGCTATCACAATTTAAATGCACTTACCTTTGGGTAAATTCTATTTCTGGGAATTTATTTTATAGATATGTTCACATATACTAAAATGACAGATGTATAAAAATACTTAGGACTGTTTTGTAGTAGCTACAGTTAGAAATATTTTCAAAGTTTATCAATAGGAAACTTGTTTATAAATTATGGTAGATCCAAACATCAAACATCTGTATGTTACTAAGAGTAGAAAATGCTCTCCAAAATATATACTTAGGTGAAAAAAGCAAAGAACATAACAATGTTTATAGTATATCATATGCTACCATTTGTCTAATAACTGGTAAAAAACTTATGTACATATGTATATGTGAAAGTAAGGAGAGCACAGTGATTAAGAGCATGGACTCTGAAGGTGACCAGCTTGGATTTGTGCCTCAGTCTCCTCATCTGTAATACAGGTATAATTATGTTACCTACCTTGTTGCACTTTTTTTGAGGATTATATTAGTTAATGTTTGTAAAAGTCTTAGAACAGTGCCTAACACGTAGTAAGTACTATTTAAGCATTTATTAAATAAGTAAATAGGCAGAGAATTTACCTGGGAGGTTACATAAGAAGTTGCCTCTGGCCAAAGGACAAGAATGAAAGGAGAATTTCTTTTGTACCTTTGAATATTGTACCAAATGCTTAAATAATATCTATTTTTAAAAATTAAATGATTAAACAATAAAAAATAAATGGATTTTAAGTGTAATGTAAGCATTTTAGATTATCTAACCTCATCTTCTCACCATTTATCCTCTACTTTGGCCCAGAATTTCCACTTTCCAGGCCTTCGACCATTGTATTTTATTAATTTGAATATTCCTTTCCTTCCCACCACCTCACTCCTCTCGTTTGTATCAAACTTTCTGCAATCATTCACGATTTCACTACCTTCTATCTGCTGCTGACTCCCCAGTTCACCTTTCAACAAAAAAAGGCAGCATTATATTTTCAAAGTTTCAAATCAAGATACCCCATCACCTCAAACCCAGCATGTTGAAGTGAACATGTCATCCCTTCTCATCTTAATCTCCCTGTTTACCATCTCCCAAACTAGAAACTGGATGCTTTACTTTGACTTTTTCCTCTACTTTATTCCCAAGATCCACTAAATCCATCAATTTATCCTATTACATATCTCTTCCCTTGCCCTTTGCTACTGCAGGCATATTACCCTAGGCCAATATGAATAACATAGATAGTATGTCCTGGAGAGCTTATTAAAATGCAGACACTGAATCAGTAGGTGTGGTAGCCAGCCTACAAGATGGCCTCTAATGATCCTCATTTCCCAGGATTCACTTCTTGTGTAGTCTCCTCTTATATTGTATCAGGATTGGTTTGCATGACCAAGAAAATAGGACAGAAGTAATGGCATATCATGTTTCAGATCAGATTAGAGAAGACAACGTGGCTTTGGTCTTGGTTGCTCTCTCTCTCTTTCTCTCTCTCTTGGTTCACTCTCTCTAGGGAAAACCAAAAGCAAAGCTACCATATTGAGAAGTCACTCAGGTGGTCTACAGAAAGGCCAACATAGTGACAAATTGAGATGTCCAACCAACAGCTAGTGAAACTAAGCCTCCTGTCAACAGCCACATGAGTAAACCTGGAAGCAGGCTCTTCAGCCCCAGTCAAGCCTTCAGATGACTACAGTCCCAGCTGCTATCTTGACTGTAACCTTATGACAGATCCTGAGCCAGAGCCACCAGCTAAGCCACTCCTAGATTCTTCAGCACAAAAATGTAAGACAAATGTCATTGTTTAAAATTGCCAAGTTGAGATAATTTGTTATGTAGCAGTAGATAACTTTATAGTAGGTCTTGGGTAAGACCTGAAAAATTCTGCATTTCTAACAAGCTCCCAGGGGACACTAATGTTGATGCAGCTGAACGTTGCTTTAGTAACAGACACTATACCATTGCACCAGCATCTCGCCTAATCCCTACCTCTATTACATATCTTCTCCAATTCCAATACACCCCTGTTCCCCAACATACGATGGTTCCCTATTACCTACCATGTAAAGTCAAAGTCCTCAGCCTCTTATTAAAAAGACAAGAGATAACAAGTATTAGTGAGGATGTGGAGAAAACCATTGGTGGTGATATAAAATAGCACAGCCATTATAGAAGACAGTATGGAGGTTTCTCAAAAAAATAAAAATAGAACTACCTTATGGTCCAGTAATCCCACTCCTGAGTGTATATTGAAAGGAATTGAAATCAGACTCTTAAAGAGGTATCTACACCCCCATGTTCACTGCAGCATTGTTCACCATAGCCAAGATATGCAGACAACCTAAATATCCTTCATCAAATGAATAGATAAAGAAAATGTGATAAATGCACACACACACTACCCAGAATATTATTCAGCTATAAAAAGAAGGAAATCCTTCCATTTGCTGCAACATGGGTAAATTTGGAGGGCATTTTGCCAAGTCAAATAAGGCAGATAGAGAAAGGCAAATACTATATAATATCACTTATATATGGAATCTTTTTTTAAAAACTGATTTCATAGGAAGAGAGAATAGAATGGTGGTTGCCAGAGTTGTAGGGAGGGGGGAAATTGGGTGATATAAATCAACGCATGCCAA